TAAGTTGGTTTTTGTTCATGTGTACGAAAAAGTTTTTTTTATATGCTAGCATAAAACAATTGTTATTAATCTAACTAACATTACCAAGTTCTGTAATGGCCTGAAATAAGAAACTTTTTTGGCAAAAAAAATATATATATATATATATTTTTTTTTACACTAGTTAATTAAACAGGGCTAAAAATACAACTGCATCCCATAGTTTTGAGAAACAATGGTTCTCTTCTTCGGGGGAATGGAAAAATAGAACATGAGTATTTATTGAAATGTTGGGATACAGTTGTATTCTTACACCTACTTTAAGAAAGAAAAAAGTCCTACTAATTATAAAACATTTCTTTCACTTTTTTCTATCTTTTGAAATTCTAGTAGAACTCGAAATATCAACAAAACCTCTGCAGTCTTTACGAGATAAACATGATTCTTTAAGTAATAGTGACCTGCGCTAGTTCTTCTTTACTATCAATGTTACGGTCTGGTAACAGAAATCTTTAGTAGAACACTTAATGGTTTTTCTCACCTGTGAAAAATACATTATTTTTTTAGATTACATTGGTCATAAAAGAAACAACCCAGGATATGGAGCCAAACTGGAATGTTAGTAAGGCTAAAAAAAAAAAAAAGATACATTAAAAAATTTAAAACACATAAGATATTGATACACAAGTTTCCTAACATACGTTCAACAAAACACGTGTACAAAGAATAACCCACTTTCAAAACCAATGTAAACAAGAAAAAATACAATGTTTATCTTGTGAAAAGATCTTATTTTTTTTCTGACTAAACTCAAAGCAGTTTAAGGAATGGTTGTAATGCGTTCTCACCAGACTGCTCGCTGGAGTTACAGCACATGAACTTCATGCATTTGAACTGCTTTAGCTGTGATTAAATCTACGAAGTGCCGGTGAAAAAGGCGAGACATAACAGCTACTTTTAGAAGTCTATACCCTTGGAAGCCAAACAAAAACTAGATTATAATAACTACATTTTATATTAAACTTTTATACTGACTGCTGCAATTCCTATGATTATATTCAATAATCGTTTTGATTTTTGAAACAAAATTACACGAAAGAAGAAAGAGCCGTTAACTTACAAAGCACCGTATTCCACTAGAGCCTTGTTATTTCCACTTAAATCCACCGTAAACTGTAGGATTATTGGGAAGAATGTATAAATTTTTAGTTTTTCTTCGGAAACTCTCAGTTACTGGACCAGTAACTTAAATAAGCTAACCAGTTTTGATCCTCCAAGACAGCAAAACAGAAGGTAGTATTGCTGTTGTTTCTATACGACAATAATATAATATTGTCCTATGAAATGGAATATTACATCCTATCGTATCGTACGTCCACTTATACACATCTTGAGGGATATTAAAACAACAGGCTGCTTCTTTAGGCTTAACCTCAATGTGTAACCACATGCACTCAGATGAGATGTCGGTACACAAAAGCAATATTGGTTTCTGATACCTCCTGGAATTTCTTAAGAAGCTTGCTCTATTGAAGCTCAAACACCCCTGGAATTAAAGAACATGAAAGAAAACTTCAATCACTTCAAAGTAATAGTTCTTGTATTTGTGTTTAGTAACTAGATGGAGAAATAACAATAAACACATTCATTTGTAACAAAACTCTTTATCTCAACTACTTGAAGTGGCATTACATGTAAAATGTGAGTTGATTATGTTTAAGTTAAGATAGCAAACTAATAGATATGAAATGTAACAAGTGGGGGTACCTCGGAACTCAGTCTCAGGACCTTAACTCTTATTGATTTACATCAATGACACAGATGAAAGACCGGTTTGGTTTGTTCGAATTTCGCACAAAGCTACACGAGGGCTATCTATGCTACCCGTCCCTATCTTAGCAGTAAGGGCTGCTCATCACCACCCACCGCTACCTCTTGGGCTACTCTTTTACCAGTGAATAGTGGGATTCACCGTCACATTATAACGACACCATGGCTGAAAGCAATTACAATATTACACATTCTTCCAGTGTGTAGCTTACTTTTCCAGTTACACATTCTTCCAGTGTGTAGCTTCCTTTTCCAGTTACACATTCTTCCAGTGTGTAACTTCCTTTTCCAGTTGATGCATCATCTTTTTTCCTACTTATAAATTTTGGCAAGGTAGGAGTCATCTTCAGCTAAGACAGTTTCATTTTTCTAACAGGGTGGCTGGCCTTTGGAATGGATTGCCTTTGGATGTTGTAGAGGCAGTAAATTTAAGTGACTTTAAGAAAAACTTGATAAGTATATGAATGAAAAGGGCTGGGTTTAAGATTATTTTTTAAAATTATTGTAATTTAATTTAATTTAATTAATTAATGTAATTTAATTAATAATAGGTCCAATATTGTCCCAAAACATTATGTTATGTTAATTCCATAAATGAAACAATAGTCACATATTGTTTTATTTACAAACCATACTTAAAAAGTGTTTTTTACATCTAGTACAAAACAGTAACACTGCATGTGTGCTTCAGGATAAACAAATACGGACAAAAATAAATAATTTCAGTCTTAGAAGTTAATAACTTTATAATAAAAAGTGATCTTAATACTGAATTTAATCAAGATTGATCAAACTATATTTACAAAAGACCAGCAAGATGTTTCAAACAATCTCAAAAGGTATTATTACCAAAACTACCTCATTACCTACAACACATTATTACATACATCTTACGTTGTAGATAGTGAAAAAAGTTACTAAATAGCCTTTACTATTTCTTATGTTATTCTTTTCAAAACAAGAATATGGTAGGAATTTGTAAAAGGTAACTCATAATGGCCATTCCGACCTATACTTCTGACACAAAAAATTAATATCAAATACTCATTTTTTTCCAAGTCAGAACATGCATTTTTTTTACATATGACTTCTGCTTTATAGGAATTACTGTTTAAACTGAAACAAACTTACTATAACGATACATTTGAAGAATATAGGTGGAAATTAATATCAGAGAATGTATTTTCTTTAAAATGAAACAAATTCACCATCTTTGTACAGTGGGAAATTAACCTTATAAAAAAAAAACACTTCCATTGTTCCTGATAATAAAACAAAAGTCCTTAAAATATCAAGTTGATCCTTCCATCTTTAATAGATTGTTTTTACGTCTTTACAAAAATATCATCTTTTTACTTTTTCTCGAACTAAAGTGTGGACGTGAGCAGGTTCCAGCTTAGTACGAAGTACGGTGATTTATTGGACAATTCTGTAATAATGGGGTTTCACCAAGTACCAGCGGTTCCAAGCATTAATCATATACTTATTTAACTCAGTGCGAGTTTAAGGTTCACAATCATGCGATTGTAACTCATGTATTCTCAGAGAATGTTACTTAATAAATGTTCCTAAATTAACTCACTGCCTCTCATATAGTCTAACTATTTACATTCATTTATACGTAGAGAAAAAAACTTAGGATATCAAAAAATTATATAATACACAAACTGAATCATATTCTATTAGGAAAACACCATCCTATATAGAATATAAGCACATGGTTAAAATCTTTCAAACAGTCAATGGTTTGCAGCATTTTTTAGATTATTAAAGGCTTAAAGAAAAAATTAGTAAAATATTTTGTCTAACATCAAAAATGATAAATTTCAACAGTCAAATGAACCAAACCATAATTTATTTTTGTGAATTTCCAAAAGAACATGCCCGTGTTTTAACTCTTTAAAAGAACATGCCCGTGTTTTAACTCTTTAAAAGAACATGCCTGTGTTTTAACTCTTTAAAAGAACATGCCCGTGTTTTAACTCTTTAAAAGAACATGCCCGTGTTTTAACTCTTTTAAAGAACATGCCCGTGTTTTAACTCTTTTAAAGAACATGCCCGTGTTTTAACTCTTTAAAAGAACATGCCCGTGTTTTAACTCTATAAACCCATAATTCTTTACGAGTTTTTGCCGGAATTTCACGATTTCCTTATAATTATCACCATACCTTATCAAAGATCAATTTGCTTAATTCTGTGGATAAGTTTTGGATTAATTTTCAGCCAACGAGACATAACTGTTATCGGATCTTGTCACCGTACTATGGGTAAATCGCGATTTATGGTCTGACGTTGGTAGTGTCCGCTCGGGCTTATATAGTTAAAAGATGCTACTTTTTACTAATAAGTGTAAGCTTTGTAACTATCCCAATAGAGCTTGTATTTTTAACCAATGTTAATAACATAAAACTAATAAATAACCACATAGTCAACAGTTTTTTTCATACAACTCATTACAAATAAATATCAGTGTTTTCTACGGTTTTTATGAATGAAAACAGAACCTATTTACTCACCTTCGCTTCAAAAAACATTCCTCAGCACTCTGTCTCATCATTCCAGATATCACTGTCATACTCACTCTCCGACTCCGACTCGGAATCAGAGAACTCGATGGCAACCCGTCTTGCCAAAATTGATGCTACGTCGTGAAGTGGAGCAGCTTTCTCCACTTCTTTCTGTTTAATGTCTTCCACCCTCCGTAGCTTGATTCCTGAAAAGAAAAGGAAAAATCCGATAAATCCGGTTTACATTGAGTCTGGTTTACATTTAATCCGGTTCACATTTAGTCTGGTTTTCATTTAATATGGTTTACATTTAATCCGGTTTACATTCAGTCTGGTTTACATTTAATCCGGTTTACATTTAGTCTGGTTTTCATTTAATATGGTTTTCATTTAATCCAATTTACATTTAATCCGGTTTACATTTAGACTGGTTTACATTTAATCCAATTTACATTTAATCCGGTTTACATTTAGTCTGGTTTACATTTAATCGGGCTTACATTTAATCCGGTTTACATTTAGTCTGGTTTACATTTAATCCGGTTTACATTTAGTCTGGTTTACATTTAATCCGATTTACATTTAGTCTGGTTTACATTTAATCGGGCTTACATTTAATCCGGTTTACATTTAATCGGGCTTACATTTAATCCGGTTTACATTTAGTCTGGTTTACATTTAATCCGGTTTACATTTAACCAGGTTTACATTTAATCTGGCTTACATGTACATTTTAACTTAGTAAACTGTATCTTCCTATTTTGAGCTGTTTTGAAGAAAAACATTATAATCCAGTAGCTCTATGGACAAAATATAACAATGTCTTTGGACAACATGGGACCTATTGATCCATTTCGGCTTTCCCATCCTATAAACTAAACTGAATCCTCTATATCATTCATATACTTATCAAGCTTTCTCCTAAACTTACTGCCTCCAAAATATCCGAAGGCAACCCATTCCAAAAGCCAACCACCCTGTTAGAAAAATAATGTGAAGACTATAAAGTTTGGTAGCTGACATCTTGATCTTAGCTAATTTAGTAATTATTCCTACCTACTGGGGTTGGGATGACACTAGTTCATTGAGGTAATGGTTCCCAACTTTTTTATGTTATGTACCCCCAGTCAGACCTGATGCACATTATCTGTTCTAAAAAGATTTAGAGTGGTTTATATTCATAAAAAAGCAAATAAAAAGATATAATTTACGGGTTGGTCAACAATACATAAATGCTGTGAGTTCTAGACAGAGCTGGAAGATTAGTGTAATTTGCTTATTAAGAAATCATCTAACTCATCTATCAATTACATTCAACTAACCAACAATTTTTCACCTAGGACTTGGGTAGACCAGAATAATCAAAAACAGCAAGAACTGGAAACTAATTTTGATTTGTTGGTTATTTTCATGATACACATTAATTAAGCTGAACAACTATGAATTAATCAGAAATAAAGAAAAATAATAACGGCAATATTTATTATTGTGACATTAATGGATTTAATTGATTAATCAGTTGTTTTACATGACAATAATCAATATAATCAATATTTATAGGTAATTCACAATATTGATTAATTGAAATCATAAAT